TGTGCACGGGAAAGAGCGTGTGACACGCCCCTGCAGCTGCCTGCAAAGGTAACACTGCGGAGGCTTGCTGGGGGCCACCCATCCTGCGTGGATGTGAGTGCCGGCTTTGCCCCTCTGCGCTTGTTCTCCGCCACGGCCTCAGACTCCTGGGCTCTGGGAAAACAGCTGCCTGCCTCAGGAAGGCAGGGCTGTGCTGCCTGGTGAGCCAGCTGGCCAGGCATTTCCTGGCCTGGGGCCCTTTTGGAGGGGGAGGAGCGTCAGCTAAACCTTGGTGCGAGTCAGCCAGGCACATCTGGATGGCGGGGTCTCTCACAGGAAATGGGAAGCTGAATTGCAGTCCCCTGGTGATAGGTGCCTTTCCGTGCTGTTACTGTTAGCCGCTGGTTTTTGGTTGTTGGACGCTGTTGTCCTGATCGGGGGTTGCCTTGTTCCTGCAAATTCCCTTTCCAGGAGTAGGGAGCAGCGAAGTGTTTTGGGTGCTGCTTGTAAGTTGCTTTTGGTGCTCTGTTGTGCATGATGGTGGTTCTACCCCGGCGTGTTCTGGTGAGTGTGTGACCTGCATCCCAGCTTTCCCTCCCTGCTCCGCTGGAACCTCGCTCCGGGGGTTGCTCGGGAGGAGAGATGAGAGTAAATCCAAAGCTGTTTTACTAAAGGGTCACACTTATCTGCCTGAGGCGCTCAAGGCGGGACTCAGGTCTGTCAGCCCAAGTGTGACTTCTCCGTAGGCAGAGCACCCACATCTCTGAACACAATCCCAGGACGCAAGTACTGGAGGGGGAAAACAGCTGTCACCGACCCTCTGTATACACACGTCCTTTGTGCCAACACGACTAGGAGCGCCTGCGTTCACAGGCCCCCCGCACGCTGCGTTCGGGGAGCTCCGGGGAGGGGGAGAGGATCTTAGAAAACAGCTTCCATCCTGTCAGTGTCAATACTTCCAGCTTCCTCCCCCTCAGTAAGTCCTTTAAATGAATGAGCAGAGCAAGGCTGATTCTTTCTTGAACTCTGCTCCGTTCTGACACAGGCTGCTGCAAGAGGGGCATGCTTGCATGCTGGCCTCATTCTGTCGGGCCAGCTGGTATGCTTGGAGAAAGGCCCATAACCTTTCTTCTTGCCCGGTTTGCAGATGCGGCATTGGCTCGAAGCCCAGCGTGCTGTTCCCTGCAGAGCAGTGTGTGTTGTGATGGAAGGACAGTCCTTCCTCCTCATCTCTTGGCTCATTATCACAGAAAACTCAGGCAATGTAAAACCAGACACCCAGTTTCTGAGCCCAAGATGCCCCCAAACTCCCCATGCTTTGGCTTAGCCAGGCATTGCCAGCTCCTAGGAGACTTAGCGTTTCCCTTAAAGCTGCAGCACCTGGAGTCCCGTGATCACACGCCAATCTCCGCTTTCCTCATTTTTAATACAAATACGCTTCTAGCCCTCCCGATTGCAGAGAGCTTGAAAACACGACCCCCAAAGCTCCAAACAAAGCCCTGATGTTAGTAGTCTTAGAAACGGTGGGTTTGGGGTAGGGATGTTAAATATCGTTTAATTGAGTAGTTGAGTAAGCTCATGAAATTGTATTGGTTCATCGACTATAGTCCCTGGGAGTGGGGCCGGCAGCCACTGTATCAGAGCCAGCAGCGTGGGGTACCAGGCAGGAGCTGGTCCGCAAGGGGAGCCAGTTTAAAAACCAGCTCTCCTCGTAGACCAGCTGCCTGTCGCCCTGCGCTGCTGCCTCTGAAAGAGAGGTTTAAGCACAGCCGCTTGCTAAGCAACGCACACGCAACTCACCTCTCCTGCACTGCCCCAAGAGCAGACCCCTTGTGCCCCCACTGGGTAGCAATGCAAAGCACAGAGGGAAACTGAGGCACGTATTGGCATAAACGTACTCCAGAAAATTCTCCCTTCGTCACCTACGGTACGATGGTCCCATGCACATATGGAGCCTCGATGCTCCGTCCTGGAGACGTGGAGGAGTGAGCTGCTGGGGGGCTTGTTTATTGGAGGACGTGGGCGTCCACTGCCCAGCGCAGACCCACAAAGTCCAGCTAACGAAGGAGCCTGTCTCAAAGCGGGAACCGTTTCCTTGCTGAGAGTCGCCATCTGCCAGCCCTTGACAGCTTTTCAGTTCTCACAAGGGATTTTGTGGTCAGTTTTTTACAGCAGGGGACCATGCAGGCACCCTGAGATTGTGTCAGGAAATCGGGGGTTGCGTGTTTGTGACCCCCCTGAGAAATAGGGCGCTGAGAGGCCAGCAGTGCATTGGCTCCTGAAGGACTATTTCTTTCTTTTCGCAAATAGCCACAAGAAGCCCAGACCGAGCTGTGAGCCCCACCTTCCCAAGACAGTCCCTGCCCTGAAGAACCCTGAGACCAGACAGACCCGAGATGGGGTGATATCCCCAATTCACAGGCAGGAGGCTGAGACAGAGATTCAGACTCAACTGCTTAATGGTTTATGATTCTCACATTTTGGGTGCCTTGCAGGGGCCCGACTTTTATAGGTGGGTGCTCAGCACTGACTGAAAATCAGGCCCCTTTCAGGGCGTCTGAAATTGGGGTATCCAAAATCATGAGACACTTTTGACATTTGTGGCTTCAGAGATGTGCCCGAATCACACGTGGTGTCTAGACTCAGGAACCGAACCCAGCCCACTGCCTTCTCTACGAGACCGGGCTTCCCAACCCAGCCTGTCTTTCCAGGGCACGCAGGCATGAATGTGTAGCTAGCAGGCCTGTCATCCCGCCCTCGCTATGGGCATGGCCAGGCTCCGGGCTAGCTGGAGCCAAGGTGGAGGGTGAATTTCAGTCCTGCTCAGCAGCACGTGGCTGCTCCAGGCTTGCGTCTGGTCCCTGGCTTGGAGAAAGTCGGGGAGTGACTGTCCCAGGGGGCTGAGGCTCCAGTGTAGGGACTGACAAAGCAAGAGGTGGTCAGAGCTGTCCCCCTCCTCCTTGGTAACGCTCCCATAACTCCCTGCGCTCGCCAGGTGGGTGATGTGGCTCTCCTAAGGCTGCTCATCCCGCACGCAGGCTGACGGGCTCAATTCTACTCGGCCGCTTCCAAAAATGGAGACTAAACAAGGGACGTTCCTGACCAGCAGCCAAAGGCAGCCCGCGGCCACCCCTCCGCCCCCCCTTCCTCCTTCCCGCCTCTCTCCCGACTTCCCTCCAAGTCGGGCTGGGTCGCTCCCCCCGGGGTGTAGAATTCCACCCTCCCACCTCAGCTGGCTGGGGCTGCGCAGCCAATGGGGTGCTTTTGTCGCTCCCATTCCCACCCCTCCCCTCTGGCCCAGCAAATGGGTCGCCATGGAGACTCGTGGGCCCCTCCAAACGTGCCTTTTATTTTTTTTTTTTTTTTTTTTGGCTGGGCTGCCCTGGTATGCGCGGGCCGGCTCCCTCCGCTTGCACAGCTGGGGCACTGGAGGAAGCGGGGAGGGCTGTGGGGGCGCCCCAGCTGCTGAGGAGTCGCCCAGGCAGGGAACCGGGGTGCCGCTGGCAAAGGCTTGGGCCTGGGTTTTGTTTCCCTGGCTCTAGCTGGAGAAAACTCCATGTCTAGCTCGGGGGAGTCGTGGCAGAGAGGGGCCTAGTTGGGGTCCTGCTGGGAGCCCAGCCTTGAGCCCAGCTGGCCCTGCAGATTCCCTCTCTAGCTGGGGTCCCCTGTGCAGACTCCTCCCCTCCCCCTCCCCCCCCGCATCCCTGCTGGGGTCCTGCTGGGATTCCCTGGCTGATTTTTTTCCCTCCCCCATTGGCTCAGGTCCGGCTGTGATCCCAGCGCTGCCTCCTCTCCCCAGCCAGGATCGGGCGGTGACTTCCCCCGACGCGCTCTCAGCTGCCCCCTCGCGTTCGGGGTGTGCCTCTCCGGAGGGCAGTTCTGGGCCCTGCCCGCGGCTGTGGTGGATTGACGGCGCCACTAGGAACTGACGACAGCCTGGGTAGGAGGGGCGCGCTTTTCCCGGCTCCCTGGCCACGATCCCCCTCAGCTGCACAGGCCAGAGAAATGACTAACGGCGGGCCGGAGGGAGCGGACTAGCCCTACCCTGCAGCCGGGGCCTGCGGGATCCAGCCTCTGCGAGAGCGAGCGCAGCCGGCACTGCTGGCAGCCAGCTGGCCGACGCTCCTGTCCCGGGGCATAACCTGGCACCTGGATGGAGGCTGGGAGGAGAGAGCCCCCAGCTCTGCGTTGGGGGGAAGCGCCGGAGTCCCAGGCAGAAGCAGCGGACGGCTCGGGAAGGCTTGGTGAGTATGAAAGCCGGGAACTGAATAGCATGTGGGGCGGGGGGTTCCTCTGATTATCCCGTCCCTGCCTGGCAAGGATGATGACTCTCAACCCTCAAAGGAAGTTATGGGGGGCTGCTGCGGGGGTCGTCTGTGTGGAGCCCTGGGTTAGCTGGTGTGGTACATTAGGAGACCCAGGTGTTGTCTGACTGCCACCGTTACCCACAGTGCTCCAGGGCAGGAAGGATGGTCTTGTGGTCTAAGGTACTGAACTGGGACCCCGGAGATCTGGCCTGGCTCTGTAACAGGGTGACACAGCGAGCTAATCACTTCATCGCTGCCTCAGTTTCCCCACTGCCATGCAGATAATAACCTTCCCTTTCTGCTCACTTGGGGTCTGGTCTAGTTGGACTGTGGACTCTTAGGGTCAGGGGCTGCCTCTTGCTGCCTTTGTAGGGCACCGAGCACAGCAGGGTCAGCTGGAGCACAACGAATTGGTTTGGGCATCTCAGCCGTGCATGCCCTGATCTTCCCTTAGCACCCGGCTGCACAACCTGGCACGAGTGGACACTTCGAGTGTTCTCGCTGAGACAAGCTGGGATATTAGCCTCCAGGCTCCTGTGGCTTCTGCAGAAGAGACAACCTCCCTCCCTCCTCCCCCCGCCCCAGCCTGGCTTTTGTTTTGTTTTGTTTTTTAAGATGCCTATTTCTGGGCGAGTCATTGGAGTTCTAAGGGCTTGTCTTTTTCCAGTGCACCAATATACTTGTACTCATATGAATCCCCCACTCACCAGGCAAACATTCTGATTCGGATAGAAGGTCTGTTCTCGGTTAGTTTATGTTGCTTGGGAAGAAGGTTAAGCAAACCACAAAAAACGTCCTTATACTGGTATAAGAGCATCTAGCCGGTGGTGAGAGCGTAACCGTATTAGTTGACATTTACGTCTTGACTTGCTCCTTTTTGTTTCCCTTCCTGTAGAAAAGCTCTAACAGCAAAACAGCTGTTGCTGCAGGTAGAGATGAAAAAGAAGTTTCTGCTTCTTTTTTGCTCCTGGAAGATTCCCTGGCTAACATGTTGAAATGCATCATGTCCAGTTGTCACCCATCCGGACACGTACAACAACTTTAACCACTTCACCGCTGCTTAGTGTGCCAGGTAGGCTGATCAAAGTACATGTGCAGTGTCCTGCCTGGGTACTCGGTGTAGCACAACGTTACTCTGCAGACAGGTGTTGAGTGGCACAGCAGTGCCATGCCACAACCACACACAGCTGTGTGACAGTAGGACATCAGCCTGCAGTGGCCTAGGTAGAGGGTGATTCCTTGGACTCAGGTTCTATTCCTGACTCCGCCACTGACTTGCTGTGTGACCTTGGGAATGTCACTTAGGCCAACGTTTTCAAAAGTGACTTGTAATTTTGGATGGCTGTTTTTGTTTGCACATCTTAGGACTCCTTAAAGGAACCTGATTTTTTTTCCCTACCCAGAGCTCGGCCCAGCGAGTCCAATGCCTGGAGTGACACAGAAATAGTCATTGAAATGTGTTTTGTAGTGAGGGACTCAGCTCTGTAAACTGGAGTTGACCTAATCGTATCTGGGGCTCTGACCTTCCCAGCCAGGCGCTGTGTGCACAGCCACTTTGGGATGCCTTTGCAGGGCCTTGGTCCCTAGGGAACGTCAGTGCAGCTGGAATGAACGCGCTCTCCGAGCCTCTGCTGCAAACCCCTCTCTGGGAATATCTTCTCTTGCTCTTCTCCCGACTCCTCGTTTTCCTGCCCCTCCCTGATTCTGGGAGAAGAGGTGCCGACGCCACAAGCGAGGATCTCGCTCCTGAAGGCAGGATGTAACTGAGGGATGTAACTGGTTAACCAGTTAGCTGGTAAGCGTCATTTTCAACGGGTGAGACTTACTGGTTCTGGTTAACCAGGAGGGGCTGGAGCAGCTCCCCGCCTGCCCTGGAGAAGCCCCTGTCTGTAGCGGGCCCAGACCCCCGCTGTAGGTTTTTAGCAGCTACACGGTTACATTTTTCAATGACTTTTTACACCCCTAATGTAACTGAAATCTCGTAACGTCACCAGCCCCGCCCAGCAGGGCCAACTTATCCAGTAGGCACAGTGCCTAGGGCCCACGATATTTTTAGGGGCCCACAAAAATGTTTTAATTTCTTTTAAAATCAGAAGAAAAAACTGAACTTTTAGGGTCGAAGAAAATGTTCTAATTTTTTTCTCACATCAGAAAAAAATGAAACTTTTAAGGCCCACAAAAATCTATTACATTTTGCCTAAAACAGGAAAAAAAAGAAAAATGTTGAAGTATTTAAAGTTATATCAAAAATAATTTTTAATATTTTCTTTTATGGTGGGAGGGGCCCACGAAGGCAAAAGTGCCTAGGGCCCACGAAAGTCATAATGTGGCCCTGCCGACCAGGCTCCTGGGGGCTGAGCCAAGCCTGCTGAAAATCCCCGCCAGTCCCTCCATGCTGCCTGCGGATCTGGGAGCGGTGGAGCCCTTGTCTTGTGCTGATACTGGCAGGAGCCTGAGCCTGGGACCTGAGCTGGTGGGGTGGGTCTTAAACATCCCCCACAACCTCATCCGGGCTGCTCACTTTCTGACCTCAGCAGTTCTGAGTCAATAGTGACTCAGTGGCTTTCAGAGACCAGCCTGTCTGGTCTGAGGCGAGGCAGCATGACGTAGAGGTTAGGCCCAGGACTGCCAGTCAGGACACCTGAGTCCCTCCTCAATGTTGTCACTGACTTGCCCACGGTCATGCACGTAATCGCTCCGTGCCTCAGTTTCCCCATCCCTAAAATGGGGGTGATAATACTCACCTGCCTTCACAAAACCCTTTAAGATTCTCTGCTGGAATGTACTAGATACATGCAAATAGACACTGCATCTTCTGTCCGCCAGGAGATGCCCAGGCTGCAGGTACTGCTAATCCAAACCATTCAGGTCGGGAGGGGAGACCAAAGCAGACACACACATACTTGAGTCCTGCATCTGAAGGCCCGGGAAGCTGAAGTGCCTGGTGCCAGACAAGATCAGTCCACAGTACTTGTCTCTTCCTCCAGGGCAGGCACCCATCTGAAAGCAGCGCTCGGCTCTCCCTGCGTGGGATTGCGATGGCAGGCACAAAATAGCGATGCCAAGTGATTTTCTGCCTGCAGCAATGACTGTTCCTGAGAGCTGTTCGTTGCTGTGGGGCTGGGCCGGCCTCGTAACGGGAGTGGGTGCCTAGGAGCTGAGACTTCTGCCGTCTAGTCGCAGGGAGGCTGTGCCCTTGGGTCTGTCTGTCAGTTGGCCCTTCCTCGACCCTGGGATAAGGAATACGTCTCTCAGCGTACTGTGGCAGGGCCCATCTTGTTCTGTCTGGGCAGCAGCTACCGCAGGGGGGCTTGGCCCGTGCCTGGAGTGGGCAGGGGCTACTGCAGCGTAAATCCTCGTAGGCGTTGCCGAGAGCCCTTTGGCAAGAGGCTGCGTGGAGCTGGCCAGTGTTAATAGTGGGGCGATGGGAAGGGGGGTTCCTGAGAGGGAGCAGTGCAGGCTGATGCCACCCAGCTGAGCTCTGCCCTTCCTGCGCTTTGTTCTCTCTGCAGGGGCCGCCGGGAGGCCGACATGGAGGGGAGTTCGCCCACGGAGAAGCGAAGAGCCGGGAAGGGCGCGAAGCACAGCGGCAGGAACGCCGGCAGGAGCCATCGCCCTGCGGAGAGCACCGGGACCAGCCGCAGCCAGCCTGCCCGAGCGGCTCTGGAGCCTGCAGGGCTGCCAGGGGAACCGGGCGGGGCCGCTTGCTCTATTCTGGAGGGCAAGGTGAAGGCGCTGAAGGAGCAGCGGCTGAGCATGAAGCAGGGAGGGGCGGTGTCCCAGGAACGAGCCCCCGTGAAGAAGCCCAAGGCCAGGAAAGGGAGGCTCGTGCCCGGTCTGGCTGTGGCGGAGGGGGTGCCCCAGGACACGGTGGTGGAGCCGAGGGCCCAGATCCGCACCTACCTAACGGACGTGCTGCTAGACAGCCGTGATGATGGGGACTGTGGGCAGGGTGCTGGGGGGGCCGTGGCTGCAGACCTTTACACCAACCATGTGGAAGCTCTGGAGGCGCATGGGGCAGCGGGAGGAGGCAGCCCCTTGGGCCACGGCTCAGCTGGGGAGCTCTGGAGGCTCCCAAGCCCTGGAAGGCACGGACTGGAGAACACTGACGGCCGCTCAGAAAACAGGGTCCAAAGGGGCTACCCATGTGGGCTTCAGGGCCCCCGATCCACTAGGAATCCCGCCACCAGCAGCCAGAAATCTGCCCCTGAAGCACGTGGCACACCGGCCTCCTCGGGAGAAGAGCTGTGCCAGGCTGGGGACTTGGAGAGCACCCCCCAGGATGGGCTGTACGGGGGGCCCGCCCCACCCGGGCGGCTGTGGAGGGCGGAGGGCGGGGAGAG